CAAAGTCGGCAGTTCAAACTCACCAGCTGCTCCTTGACAATCCTATACAGGGTCGCTATGAGTTGAAACCAACTTCACAGCACTCAACAACAACAACAACAAAGGTAACCAAGAGAAGAACCAAAAATGATCACATCAAATGAAAAGACTGAGAGAAAGGAAAAGGGAAGGAACGACATTAGAGGGGAGGGTTGATGAGCTAAATTCCTTGATTTTCACAGAGGGCAGAACTAGATTTTTCAAAAAGTTGCTAGATGAAGAAATACAGATTTACACACATTATTTGCAGATATGGGGGTAAGCATTAAAATAAATTCAAATGGAGACCTCTGAAGAATGGGACTGGGAGGAAGATCATAAGAGACTTTAACTTTTCATTTTGTACTCTTTTGCACAGTTTTTTTTGTTATTGTTTCATTTTGCTTGTTAAGAGTGGAAGAAAATATATCAAAATGTTAACAAGAGAATATCAGAGTGATACAATTATTAATGCATTTAGTGATCCTCTTTCCCTAGAGTCTTCAAATCATCTATATTAGTCATGTTTTATCATCAGAAACACACACACGGTTTATTAATTAAATATAGGGAAGTATTGTGACTTGAATGATTACCAGGTCGTTAATAGGCTTTGTGGAGTCCTGGGGTGGAGTCCTGGGGTGGCTCTGTGGGTTAATGCACCAGACTGCAAAGCTGTTTGAACTGCAAGGTCGGCGGTTCAAGCTCACCAGCTACTCCTAGGAATCCCCCTATACAGGGTTGCTATGGATCGGGATTGACTCGATGGCACTTAACAACAATATGCTTTGTCCTTCATCTCTGACTTATTGGAGGAACTTCAAGCCAACAAGGAGTTTACTAAACACAACTTTCTGAGTAAATACAGTTTTGGGGCATTAAAAAGGAAAAGAAAGTGGTTTGACTGCATTCCATTCCTTCTGTTATTTCAAGGTCCCCTTTTCCCATGTTGACAAGGAACTGTGGTTGAATATTCCACCATTATAGAGGGTGCCTCCTTCTGGTACTGTGGGTTAATGCGCTGGACTGCAAAGTCGATTTAACTGCCAGGTCGGTGGTTCAAACTCACCAGTCACTCCTCAGGAACCCTATACAGGGTCGCTATGGGTCAGAACCAACTTGATGGCACTAAACAGCAACAACTTCTACCACATTCCTGATAGATGTATGCCTAATTTCAGCTTGCATATTTCAGGGACTATATCAAGTCTGGAATTCTGGTGTGGCTCTGTGGGTTAATGCACCAGACTGCAAGGTTAGCGGTTCCAGCTTACCAGCCACTCCTTGGAAACCCTATACAGAGTCACTGTGAGTCAGAACTGACTCGACAGCACTTAACAACAACATATCAAGTTTGGAGTTCTGGTGTGGCGCTGTGGATTAATGCACTGAACTGCAAAGTTGGTTTGAACCACAAAGTCTGCAGTTCAAGCTCACTCACCAGCTGCTCCTCAGAAACCCTATATAGGTGCTATGGGTCAGAACAGACTCAACAGCATTTAACAACAACACAACATATCAAATTCAGGCTATTTATCAACTTGGCTAGGTCACGATTTTCAGTGGTTTTGGAGATATTATGAAACCATCCTTTATTCTGTGATCTGATATGAGCAGCCAAATAGTTGAAAGGGGAGTTTCCTTGGGGAATGTGGCCAGCATCCAATATGCATGGATGTTCTAGCAAAACTTACCCTCTTTTGATCCTGCAATCATTCATCAGCCTCTGACCTCCGGTTCTCAGAATGTGAGTCAGCACCCTGCCGTCTGACCAGCAGATTTTGGATTTGTCAGCCTCTGCAACTATGTGAGTCAAGAGAAGTCTCCAGCCTGACATCTGACCCACGAATTTGGGATTTTCCAGTCTCCACAATTGTGTGAGCCATTGCCTTGAAATCTTTCTTTCTTTCTCTCCACACACACACACACACACACACACACACACACACATACACACATACATATGTTGTTGTTATTAAGTGCCATCCAGTCCGTTCCGATTCATAGCAACCCTATATAGGGTTTCCAAAGAACAGCTGGTGGACTTGAACCACCAACCTTTTGGTTCAA